AAGCCCCGGACTCTGGGCTCGGGTGTCTTTTAGATCTCCCCGTGAGGGTTGGGGAGATGTTTGACTTTGGGGAAAACCAAGATACAAAAGTGAAATATGAAAGTCACCAGTCTCCACGTGAGTGCTTTCTACTGCCTCTGTCCTACACTCTATTACTATTACTTCCCATTACTATTATTTCTATATGACTATGCTAATTACTATAACAATAACTATACTCTGTTACTACTACAGTATTTCCTCTATACTATACTTTATTGCATAACTATCCTATGACAATGTTTTCTTCTTACCAACCCTGCTCTGCCTTAATTCCTCTCCCTGGAATTTCTTCTGCTTTCCTCCTCTCTGTTACTGGCCAGCAGGTAGAGCAGATGAAGGCATGGCTGGCTGGGGGATTCTGGGAGTTGAAGTCCACCCATCGTCAAGTTGCTGGGGTTGAGGAACCCTGAGGTAGAGGACTTGCAATTGGCTACCTTGTGCTTTTATACTTGCCTTTTCCTTGCTCTGCCTCTATGCTTCCTTTCCTCTGGACCATCCAGCCTTCTTTTATTCGGCGGCTTTCTGGCTGGGGCAGAGCTTCCAAAACACGTGCCCCCGTCTGCAGCGGTCTTCCACAGGAGAAGGGCAGAGACAGAGAAAGCACATTCCGGGGGCCTTCCGGATGGCACTGCGCGACAGGCCAGACCTGGAGTGCGCCGACCCTGCTGGACCTCGCTGGGCAGGCAAACCCAGCTGAGATAGACGGTCCTTCAGAGAGCCCGGCCCCGTTTCACGAAGGGCCTTACGGGTCACAATCAGCACTCTGAATTGCACCAGAAACCCTGCCAGTAACCAGGACAGCTTGCACAGTAGTGGCGTTATCTAACGTACTGAGGTACACACCGACTACCCGCACTGCTGCAGGTGGTTGTTGTTCAGCCGTTAAGTCGTGTCCGACTCTTCGTGACCCCATGAACCACGTCGCACCAGGCCTTCTTGTCCTTCGCTGCCTCCCTGAGTTGGCTCAGTTTCATGCTCAGTGCTTCAGGGATGCCATCTGACCATCTCGTCCTCTGCCGTCCCCTTCTCCTTTTGCTTGCATGAGGGACCAGCTATAGTTTCTGAGTGGTCTTCAAGGGCAGCCTCATGTACAGCACATTTCAGTAATCCAACCAAGTGTCACCAAAGCATGAGTGAGCAGGGCCAGGAACAAGTACAACTGGTGCACAAAATGGATTTGTTCAAAGGCCCCGCAAGCCATGGCGGCCACCTGCTCTTTGAGAAGAAGCCAAGAGACTAAGAGGACCCCACCCCCCGAGAGGACGCCCAGGTTCGGTTTGGGGACGTGCCGCCCCATCCAGCCCTTAGTGCATCAGCAGTGGGTGTCCCAAGGGCCATTCTGGGTTATTTGCTTCATTTTGGGAGGTGAGGTTCAACAACTACCGTAGAGCCACTGTGAGACATTTGTGCAACACGTTGCTAATAAAATCATCAAATTCACTGAGGTCTGAACTTTGTACAAGTGGGGTCTGAAGAGGTGGGTGAGGTACCACTTGCACAAATCCCTAGGATTATTTTTGGTTTGTTAATTCTGAAGAGGTGGATAGGTGATGTGTGGAATGATCCCCATGGGACTGATTCATGCCCAACCTGGTTGCCATGGGATGCCAAGGGGTATGTGAGTGAGTGGCTGGATCTGGGAAGCTCTCAATGCCTCATTGAAGAAGGTTGGTGGCATAACCGCTCCTGAAGAGGACTTTCCTAGACCTCTCCAGCCAGGTTAGACAATCACTGTCCAGTCTCCCCATGTTAAGGAAAGCTAACGATAACGCCAACTACTGAACACCTTAGATGAAGTCGATGATGCCCACTCCTTTCAGTCCGGGCTCAAGTTTGGGTGTGGAATGCAACAGTATTGGTCGTCCTGGTTAAGGACCTCTGCTGGGCTCTAAATGGGGGGAACGTGTTAGATCGCTGCACAGCTTTTGAAACCACTGACCATGGTATTCTTCTGGACTGCCTGCTGGGTTTGGAAGTTGGTGGCTCTACATTTCAGTGGCTCCACTCCTATCTAAGTGGGCACTTTCAGTCTGTGGGGTAGGGAGGAAAGGTCATCTTGCTAGTTACTGCCTTGTAGAGTGTAACAGAATTTGTCCCTCTCACCCCTGCTTTTTAATGTCTGCATGAAACTGTTGGATGAGAGGCCATCAGTTTGTCTGGATAAGTTATAATCAACATGCTGACGATATCCAGATGTACACCCTCGCCCTAGACTGGCCGGGGATGCTGCTGAAACCCTGAACAAAGTTCTTAAGTCTATGAGGGACTAGATGGGAAGGAACAAGCTGAAATTAAATTCTGGCAAGACAGAGCTGGTGTTTGTTCATCTGGTTCTAATTTCACCCCCGTTATTTCTGAATGGGGTTATGTTCCCCTGAAAGAGCACATCTACAAGCTGGAGGTCCTCTTGAATTGATAGCTGTTGTTAAATAGGAGGCTGGAACTAAGAGGGCCTCCACCAGCTAGAGCTAGCGTACCCGTTGCAGTCCTACCAAGGAAGTCATCCATGCCCTTATTCGCTCTAGAATGACTACTGCAATGTGCTGTACATGGGGCTACCTTAGGAGACCTCCCAGTCAGTACAGGATCTAGCAGCCCACCTTCCAGCAGATGAGAGGTACTAGGCTCATCCAGTTATGCAGGCACTGTGTGGGCTGCCAACAGGCTTTCAAGTACAACTTAAAGTGTTGGACGTCACCAATATGGCTTCACCCCAGGTAACATACTTTGAATAAAGTTCAGTAGTCCAGTGCGGGTTTCCTGACTCAGGATGTTAAGAATCCCGGACATGTAAAATTAGGGGGTGGGGTGGGGTGGGGTGGAAGAGAGTGGTAAAAATGCTTCTCAGTACCTGTTCCATCTCTATGGAACACCTGACCCCAGAAGTTTGAATGAAATTGTTCTGGAGTGCTCTGATGGCCCTGAGCTAACGCCAAGTAGGATGTCATGATTAGTTTTTCATGTAAGTTTCTAGAATATTATGATTTTATTATTTTGGATTTTGTGCAAACTGCTGGGAATCCATGCAGAGTCAGCAGTATATCAATGTTACAGTAAAAATAAATAATAAATGATGCTCATGTTGCCCTTCGAACTTGACTTTAACATTGCCCAAAGGCAGCCAATCTAACAAGGAACGATTCGCTCGTGCAAAATACGTGGGGTCTGCCAACCTTTAATCTCAGGATCAAATTAGCCCACCATGGGACGCAAGCCCCCTGATTTGCTCTGTCACCATCCTCTCTTTTTGTAACTGAGATTTGGCAGGTCTTATCTCATTTAATCATTACATTGAGAGCAATGAGCCTGCTCATCTCCAGCAAACCGAGCTGCAATTTAAGCTGAGCATCAAAGCCTCTTGTGCCTGGCACCCAAGCCACTGGGCAACCAATCAGACAAGGGGAGGGGGCCGGTGTGTCAAGCCTGGGACACTCATTAAGCCTCCAAGGAAGCTCTAGACAACCATCTCCACCCATCTCCAAGGACACAGGCTCTACCAAAAACACTGCACAAGCAATCATTACCCTAAATTTAAAGATATTACATGATTCTTAATGCCCTTTTCTACTTACAGCAGGAAGTGTTTAGGACTTCCTCTAATTTTTAGGGAATAGCTAGCAAAAGTAATACTCTCTACCACTACACAACCTATCCTCGCTTTTTGTGGCAAAAAAATGAAAAGATATCCAACTATTTAGCCATTTCTCTTGGCCTTTCTGGGCAGCACGTTGGTCATGCCCCCTCCCCAATGAAGCAACCACCAAATGAGGAGAGTCTGGCCCCCTTTGTGTTGGACCTAGGTGGACCACAAAGATAAGCTTGCCTTTGATGGGTTTCTGAGTTCCACCTTGCATTCTGAATATTTTAAAAATAGCTTGCTCTATTCTTAATTTGCATATGAGTAATAATGTATATCACCCTTGGGGCAGAAAGGTGATTTCCAAATACTGCCGTAAACAGATAAAGAGCCGGGCTGGAAGATGTCCTTTGCTGGATGGCTCGCGGTGCACGGCTGGCCGCCTGCCTGCCTGCCTGCCGGCCCTGCCTCCGGAATCCGCCTTTTAAACGGCTCCTTCCAGCCAAAGAACAAAGGCGCAGGCTCGGCAGAACCCAGCCTCATCAGCAACTCAACAGGGTTGAAACTGGGAGGAGTGGAGCAAAAAGTAACTTGGGCATGAATTAATGTACTTGGCTTAATTCTATTTAAAAGGATACCTGCTTTGCCTAGTGCAAAAGCAAATGGACCTTGTTGCTGAGAAATCGTTTGTTGAAGAAAGATGAAACGCATCTTCCTAAGTGAAAGGGCTTTTTTGCGTGAGGATTCCAGCAGATGAATCTGGCTGAAAAGAGCCATCAAAGAGAGCTACCTATTAGCTATCAATTTAGACAGACTTCAGGAAGCAGCCCCGAGTCAGAAGCAATATCTGATCTCTTCCCAGCACCCTTTTAATCTTTTTGGTAACACCTGACAGCCTCCTTCCAGCCCTGTACTGGCTAGTGCCTCTCAAAAGGAGTAATCAACATTAGATAAAACAGGAAATTAAGCTGCTGGCTGGCCTGCTGAGAGGGAAATTCATAGGCCCTTCCCACGGAGGGCATTTTGTGCAGTACGGTGAGCACAGAAGGGGAAATCCCTGCCCTGTCCTTTGCAAGGGGATGCTACCCTGGAGAGGGCAAGGAAGGCAGGATGCCGATTCACTTCCAGGTGGGACTGAAAGCAACGCAAAACATCCAGCGGGCCCGGCCGTGATGTACGACAAGAGGAAGATGCTCTCCCTGCTCAGCGACGCTGGCTTGGCAGGCAAGTAATGGGAAGAAGATTCCAACAAGCGAAAGATTTGATTTACAGAATTCATTGCTCGAGTCGGCCACCTGTTTGCTAGGTTTAGAAAAGAGATGGACACAAGAGGTCAAGCCCCAGCTGCAAGAAGTACATGGAACACTGATGCTTAGAAGCCTTGTGCCCCCGAGCTCCAGTTGTGGAAGGGGAAGTGTCTGGCAACGGGAGTGACCTTGATGCTCTGGGGTGAGTTGAACATCTGTCTGGCCACTGTGGGAAGCCCCCTGAGAAAGCAGCTCGGAGTCCTACGCACTTTGCTCTCCTTCCCCAGGGCAGGAGCCGGGAGGTCCCGCAGTGCCAGAAAAGCAGCCAAGATGTGGGAAAGCCGCTCGGTGGACCACAAGTCTCTCAACCCAGGCCCGGGGCCTGATGGTCCAGCATTCACAAAGGCCAGCGTGAGCCCAGGGTCAGGCATCACTCAGCACCTTCCCTCTCTGCTAGCTGCAGGACAGGACATTATAGGAAGTGGGCAGGGCTGAGATTTTCACACAGTACTTTATAGAAATGGTTTCAAAAAACGGTTATTGGAAACCTACTGGTAAGCTTATGAAGACATTTTTAGAAAATAAGCGGGACTTGCACTTCCACTGTATATAAACAGAGCAAACCCCACACTCACTAGCGCCGATGGTGTTGCCTAGTCGGGTAATGAAACGTCTGCAAGCAAACCACCAAGCTCAGAGAGGACCAAGGACTTCACTTGCACTTCTGCCATCCGCCACCTGATTTCAGCAACGCCATTGCTGTAGTCTGAATGTTTGCCCAAAAAAAAAAGTCAAGGTGCACGCACCCAGTGTGCAATTGGCAGTATGGAAACTGGAGGAGACAGGTGTGAGCCCCAGCCACACATTGCCTCTTCTCACCAGCAAGAGCGCCCGGGCACGGAGGGCTCATCCGCTACCGGAAGTGCAGCACGGCAGTTACGTCTGTTCTGCGACTGGGTGAAAGGAGTCTCCCTGGCATCCTCCGGGGGCTTGCCACAGAGACGGATCACCTCCCACAGCCATTTCCATCACTTTGCTCCTGTAATGGGGCCAGGCCCGTGACCCGTCCTTGTCCGCTCCCTCTGCCACTCTCTCGCCACGGTCCTCCAGCCAGGAATCAGCTGACTGCAGTCACACTGATCGGCTCAGGTACCCTGGCAGTTGCTCCGCTCTCCTCTCCTGGCATAAAGCGGAAGAGAGCCCTTGAACCAGCTAGGTTGGCTACGACCCCCTAATCCCTGCATGTCATCAGAAACCAGACCTATCAGGGCTGGTGCAGCTTTTCTGGGCAAGGCAGCAGCAATATTTAATCATCAGCTCAGACCATCTGCAACGGCTTTCTCTGCCATTGCAAAGTTTATGGATTCCTGCATTCTCCAGACAGCACCAGGTGCGGCATTCATTGTTATTGTATTTTCTGCTGCTGCAGACAGCAGCTCCCCCTCCCTCTCCCCCTTCCGATCAATGTTCAGTGCTGAATTAAGAGGCAAGTTGCCCAGCACAGCCCAAGCCAAGCCTGGCACAGAGGAACATGGCTGTTTGATTAAGCAGAGCATAGATCAAATGTTTAGAGAAGAGAGGTCCAGGAGAATCAGAAAGGAAAAGCAATTAGTCAGGTCGGTCCAGGCAGGTCCGTAACGTAACGTAACGGCCGGCAGTTCCATCAGATGCCTGGTCAAAGGTGGGAGGCTACCAGAGCACTCGATGAGACTGTCCCCAAGCAGCCTCTCTCGTTTGCAGGTCCCAAGATGCACGTGAATTCACTAAGGAACTTGAGGAGATGAAGCCGCAGAAGCAACGCTGGGAGCACCGACAGAGGAAGACCAAGAGCTAAATGACAGCACGGGTAAGAGCTCATGGTGGAGCCCACGCTATGGCGAGAAGGCCAAAAAAACATTCGCACTCCTCCACTTTTTTTGCACCAGTGGTTGCTGTTCTGTGACCTTATTTAAGGTCACGTGATGCCCGCCAGGGAGGCAAGCGAGACCTACAACCTGGCCACTGGGACACATTTGCTGAACGTTTTGATGATAAAGCCCTTCCAACTCCCTATACTTCGACTCCTGATGGTTGGGGTCTCAAGTGGGGCTAGGGGTGCATCTTGTATTGTGACCTGGGGTTCTTTTCTGCTTGGCACCCTTGATGAAGAGGAAAGGGGCTTTGCAGAGGATTAGAGCCTTGCCCTTCCTGGCTCTTTCAGGCGGCCCATTGGAGTAGCTGAATCCTTAGGGGAAGGCACTGTGCCAAATGCCTTTGAGGAGGCATTGGAGCACCCTTGTAGGAAGATGACCTTGACGGAGACATGTAAAATCCGTCACCAGGGCAACGGGGGTGAAACACATTTTAAGTCCAGAACAATGAGATAACATTCAGAAGCGGTTCAGGAAGACACCTCCCTAAGTCAGTGGAGCGTGAGGAGGAGGAGGAGGAGGAGGGCCTTCAGCAAAATCCAACTTGCAAGATTCCGTCACTGTAGCTCATCTCAACAAAAGAAGTTTTAGCCTTCCTGTGGAGTTGATTTCTTGGTTTGGTCTACCTAATGGGGCTGACAACCCTCCCCTGAAGAGGCCTTCCCTAAAACTGGCAGGACTGCTGCCCTGTCTCAGTTCTTCCAGAAGACCGTAGAGAAGAAGATGGGATGGCCCTGGCTACAACGTGTCTTACAGCAAGCAGATTGTCTGGACCCCTTTCAGGTGGCCTTCGGGCCTGGCTACCCGACTGAAATGCCATTTGTTGCTCTGGGGATAACCTTCGTCAGGACCTGGAGGAGGGGCTCCCATCCCTCTTCATCCTACTTGACAGCTCAGCAGCATTCAGTCCCATCAAATATGGCACCCTTCTGGATCACGTGTGAGGGTTTGCAATGGGAGGCCCTGTCTGAGAGTGACTTCACTCCTTCCTAAGCAGGTGACTCCATTCGGTGGTCATGGGGAAGGAGAGGTCAGTTTCACAGGTATCCTCTTGGAGGATCCCACAGGGATCGATTCTCTAATTCTTTAATATCTACATGAGATCTCTGGGAGAGGTTACCCATCAGTCATAATGGACTATGACCAGTATCTGTTGGTACCCAATTATGCTCGCAAGACCATCTCTTTTAGGAAGACCTGACCCATCCAGTACACGTATCTCAGTTGGAAAAGCTGAATGTCCCTATATACAAGGGATGAGTCGGGGCCTGGAGGCAGTGATTTACTTGGGGGGCCCTCACCTCCAAACTCCAGATATGTCACCTTCAGATTGACAACGGGGGGGAAAATGGCTAAAGCTAAGACTTTTTGGAAGACCGTTTGCCACAGGTCAGAGTGAAAGAACTGCAAATCTTGCAGAAATCGCCAGCCTCCACCCAGCCCCGTCCTTCAGCCATATGTGGAGTCTCACTTCAAACCCTGCCCTGCAGAAATGCCAAGTCGGAGTGAACAAGCATAGGATCGGACACACTAGATCCGTTTCCAACGGAGAGCCTTGAAGAGGAGCTGAAAGGCAAGGAAGCCCAGACCCAGGCAGCTGTTATGAAGGAAGGCCTCCTCCCCTCTTCCAGGTTATGACCAACGTGGGAGAGGCCAAAGAGACTTGAAATATGCCTGAATAAATGCAATCCGCCACCGCCCCCAACTCCTCTCACTGCAGGAGCACTTTATTTCCAAAGCTGGTAGAAAAAATTATGAGGAAAATCAATTTTCTTTTTCCATACAAACGGCTGGAAAAAAAAAATGAGGGTGATGAAATACAGCACTGTATTACATTTCATAATGACTTCCATGCCACATGCAAATTACATCAAAAGTACTTAGAATTAAATGAGAGGGCAATCAATAACAGCAAACCCCCCAAAACTAAAGAAATAATGACAGGAGAAAAAAATGAATGTTTTCCCTTGGGATTAGGAGTAAAACAAAGTGCTGGCATAAAGGGCTGAACACAGGAGAACTGCAGCGGGGAGGGAGACGGGGAGAGAAAGCGGGCAGACGACCCCAGCTGCCTCCAGGGAGTTTGGCCCAAGAAGACAGGCGGAGCAGGAGGGAAGCGGGCGAGGAAGCTGCCCGTCCCAGACGCCAAGGCCAAAGCAAGGGCCACGTATGGCAAAAGCACCAGACAGGAGAAACTGCACTGCTGCTGGGCCTGGGGGCAGGCGTGCCCCTCGTATTCCCCAAGCGGTGCCTGCCCCGGTTTTAACGCCAGAGTGGACTCCCAGCCCGGGCCACTGCTTCGCTGTCGCCGGGAAATGGCCGCATCCCAGATGCGCCCTGAGGCAAGCCCCCCACGGCGAGAGTCTGTGAAAACCAACGTAGCTATGGCTCTCTTACGCGAGAACGCCCCCCTGTAATGAGGCTGGCTGAGGCTTTAACGGGCGTGGGGCTTTCTCCTGAAATGGGGATGATGAATAGGCATCTTCAAGCATGAAACTCCAGGCCGTATGTGAATAAATGGATCAGAACGCTGTTATAAAAACATTAGTTGAATTTAGGAAGTCTGCCTTCAGCTGCCGAGACGAGATTTTCGTAGCAGGAGGAAGGGAAGTCAACCGCTTGCCGCAGCTCTCTGGAAAAGGGCTCCTGGGGCAGGTGGGGAGGTCGCCCAAGATTTCCAAGGGCCGTTTCATACTAAGGAGCCAAGACCGCTGCATTCTCGCAAAGGTCCCCAGTACTAGCCCCACAAACTGCTGTTCTTCTGAGAGACAGGATTATTTTAAAAAGCTGCAAAGACGGGGTTTCACATATCACACTAGGCCGTTTGTTTAACCACAGCTTGCTCAATAAATTGTAACAGGCTGGGTTTCCTTAACACACTAAGCCACAGAACATGGTTTACAAACCACACTGACCAGTTCACACCCCAGGCTAAGCCAACACCAAGATGCGTGAACCCTCTCAGTGTCCTCACGAGGATCCAACACCTGCGGGCGCTGCTTACACTTCTACCCGCCAAACCATGTCCACGCTGAGTTTTTAAGAAGTGGGAGAGGAAGGAGGAAGGGGGGCCCACACAGTGCCACGGGCGGGGGTGAGGCCATTTCCTCATGCTCCATTCAGAGTCGGCTGACGAATAGTACAGTAAACGCATCCCAGTCAAATCAATGGAAGGGAAAGAGCTACAGTGGTACCTCGGGTCACAAACGCTTCTGTTCATGACCAATTCGGGTCACGA